TTGGAAGTAGTTTATCACTCCTTCTTCCTAGTCTGTCTTAGTCTGGAAGCTCAGCTGAAATCTATCCACCATGGGGTGACCTGCTGGTATTTAAAATAATGGTGGCATAGCTTCCAGAAGCACTGCAACACACAAGGCACCACAGTACTACAAACAGCAGACAAATGGCAGTTTATATCTTTACTTGTGTCAAATCTAAAGCAGTTCCTTAGTCTTACTTTGTCTTTTATAACCTTGACATTTTTTAAGAGTACCAACCAATTGTCTGATATTTCCTCAAAATTTGCACATTTTCATAGGAATACCTCAAAAGTGATGCAGTTTTGTTTTTTTCATTACAATGGTTGTAATGGTTGTACATCAGTTGTTGTTGTTGTTAAGTGCCGTTGAGTTGGTTCCAACCCATAGCGACCCTGGGTTTCCAAGGCTGTAAGTCTTTACAGGAGCAGAAAGCCTCATCTTTCTCCCATGGAGCAGCTGGTAGTTTCGAACTGCTGACCTTGTGGTTTGCAGCCTGATTCGTAACCACTACGCTATGGTATCAGTAGGCACATGATACAAAATTTAGTTCATATCTAGTGATGCTAACTTTTGTCACTAGGTTAAGATGGTGTCTGCTAGGTTCCCCAATTATAAAGTCAACTGATAAGTATTTCATAACTTAATAAGCAACTACAGGTATGTATTACTTAACATTCATGGTACATTCTATGAAATAGGACATTGTATGATTTGGACATTGTGTGAAATCCATTTAAAAACCTATGAGAACCCACTTCTGGTTGTTCTTGTTGCTGCTGCTGCCACAAGAAAAAGGAGCAGTAGCAGCAGTAGAAACAGAGAGACAGGAAGCCAGGGGGAAGGAGTGACATGTATCTAGCCTCATCTGCCTGTCTACTTGCCCACTTGCCTGCCATTGAACAAAGCCCCAGAGCAAGGGCCCAGAGCCATAGTCTCCACCTCACCTACTTGTATCCTACATGTGGTCCAGTGCTGCAAGAGCCTGGATTAAGGTCTTTTATTACCATTGTTATTGTGTGCCATCAAGTTAGTTATTGTGTTGTTGTTTTTTTTCACATAATCGCCTTGCTTTTCAATAACTCTGTTCATCTGTCAACAAGCTTTCATATTTCCTTTTTAAAAAATGTTTTAAACTGAGCTATGAGTCATGAACGCTCCTCTGTTTTCACTTCTTCATCAGAGGTGAATATTCGTCCTCGAAGGACTGCTTTCAGGGGATCAAACAAGTGAAAGTCTGATAGAGTACGATCCTGACTATAGGGAGGATGTTGTAATGAGTACTGCTTATTGTTGAACCCGGTTCCTGATAGTATTCCAATATTGGCCCTAAGGATCCCAGAAAACTGAAGGCATCAATTTTTTCTTGGTCAGTGATAAAGGATGTTTCCATTCTATACTCGGCCATTTACTCTCAGACTCATAGTGATAAATCCATGTCTTGTCATCAGTAATGATTTCTTTTAAGGAAACTTTTACCCTCCTTCAAGTATCAGTCCAAATTTTGTTTGTAGATGTCCATGTTCACATCTGCACAGCAATGACCTTGAACAGAAAGTGTTAATAAGACAGTGCAGTCAACACAAGTTTTAATATAACCAGATTGTGGATATATATTTTTTTACCCTCGTATATACATGTTTCTTATTATTCATGTAAGTGTATATACATATATAATAAATATGTATCTTTGAATATTAAAAACCTTGAGTTTACATTTGTTGTTGTTGTCAGGTGCCATCGAGTCGGAACCGACTCATAGCGACCCCATGCACAGCAGAACGAAACAATGTCCGATCCTGGGCCAACCTCACTACCGCTGCCACACTTGAGTCCATCAATGATGCCACCTGGCTGATCCATCTCATTGGGGGTCTTCCTCTTTTTCTCTGACCCTCCACCCTATACTGGGTTTACATTGATATCTCTTAATTCCAGTCCAACACCATAAGAGTTTTTCTATCATTGTCTTCTTGCCCCTTTCCAGGTTTACCTTCTCTTACATGGAGAAATCTGACTCTCACCATACTTCTTTTCTTTTTTTCTGAAATCAAATACAGTTTTATTTAGGAATTGGAAAGAATAATCAGTTATCTGTGAAAGGAAATCCAATTTTAAAATATTTAAATAAACATTTCTGTATGTATAAAGAAAACTAGAATAATTCTGCTACTGAGTTATTATCCTTGCTGTTGGGGAGGTGCTCTTGAAAGCCAGTGCTTGAGTCCACTCAGGATCATGGGATTCCTCTCACCCCATGCCCAGCTACCCAGCTATTCCTAGCAGGGGGACACAGAGCTAAGCATTTCCCACTGTAACAGGGATGTCAAGGTCTCCTAATGCCTCTCAGCCAGGACACAAATCAAAACACATTGGGAAATCTCAGCTTTCTAAGGCAGTGAGAAAGTGCAGAGTGAGGACAGTGGCTTACTATACCCAGTATAAAGGGGCTGCTACCAAAATGTGTGTGGCTAAGACCTTACCCAGCTTAATATGTTAATACTATTAGTTTAGGAATAGTTTCCCCTATCCTGTTAACCACTCAGATAATTAAATAGGAAGGCTTGATAAGGTTTACTTAGTAGGCTAAAGAAGCCATTCACCCCACTGAGGGTAGTCAGGTATGCTTTCTCTCTGGGTAAAGGCTCACTACCTCGTTTCTGTAGACAGATGTTCTCAGAAACTGGTTGCCAGTCCTTGTAGAATCCCTCACTATACACTGGTTCAAAGTCACTTTGTTCTGTGCCATATATATTTGTCACTTAAGAATCGCTACCTTCAAACCTGTGGTGGGAACAGAAATCTCCTGATAGTGTCTTCATTTGAGGCAACTGATGGCCTGGCCTTTCCAGTGAACACCCAGAGAGCTGTTACCTCATTAACCTCATCTTTTGTGTGCACTGCTTTCTGCCAGATTTATAAAGTTAAAAATAATATGAAGATGTGTGGGCACAGGATGAAAATCAATCACCTGCCAATCCTGCCCTTTAATACAGTGCATCTTTCACCATGAGACATTGCTGACTTCTGTCCTGGGATGACAAATGAGAGTGGGAAGGTTCTCGTAGACCCCTGGCCATGGAACTGCCCAATAGGACACAATGCCTGTCACGCATGGTATGAGAGGAGCAGCTTCTCATGGTGAAAGCATGAAGGTCTGCCTTCTGGGCTCATACTTATTTTCTCAGTTGATCCTGTGTGTAACCAAACTCCTAGGGGTCCGCCCCTATTTTGCCACCTCTTCCCCATTTCTATTCCATTACTCCATATTGGGTGCACTGATAGAAAATTCAGTCCTGATGAAGTGGAAAAGGAAATAGAAGGGTATAGTAGAAAAGGCTACTTAGAAAGCTCAGCCCCAGATTAGTCTCCCCTCTCCCAACCCTCCTCTAGGTTTGGCCAAGCTGGGCAAGGAACACTCGGCTTTAATTAAAGGGTTAGGGAAACAAGCTCTATTTTTTTTTATTCTAAAACAATACCATAGAAGATTGTACAAGTAGCTTTATTGTTCCATTTAAATGAGTTATTATGGAAACAGCAGCATTAAAAAAAAATCAGATTCTTTTTTCTTATTACAGAACTGATGCCTTTAAAAAGAGAGAAATTAAAAAGTAATAATCACATATCCTTTTTTCATCCACAGATAATCACAACTTTTTGGAGTATCTTTTTCTTTTTTGGAAACATTTCAAATCTACCAAAAAGTTGCAAGAACAGTACAATGAACATCTATAGTATAAACTAGATTAAATAAATGTTAACATTTGGACACATTGTTGTATCTTTTTAATACATATATATTTATGTTGTTGTAAACTGCCATCAAGTTGGTTCCAACTCATAATGACACTATATAGAGTTTCTGAAGAGTGGCTGGTGAGTTTGAACTATCATCAATCTAGCAGTTCAAACTGACCTTGCAGTTGAGTGCTTATCCTACAGCATCACACCATGATGCCATATATTTATATATGTATATATATATATTTCATTTAGCCATTTGAGAGTCAGGTACAGATACTATGGTACTGAGAACATCAGCATATACTCATATTTACAAGAACAAGAACTTTCTCCTACTTATAAAATATTCAAATGTCAGAAAATGTAACAATACAGTACTTTATTCATATATACTAGTAAATTCCATATTTCCCCCAATTGTCAAACAAATGTCAAACTGTCAAACAAACATGGTATTAACTTTAACCACATATTTAATGTGTCAGATTTCATTATTCACTGTAATGTTCAGATTGTCTTGTAATTGGTCAGTGGAGTCCCTACAACCTTTTTTGTCCCCATCAATTTTGGGGCATGCTTTCACTTTATGGTACAAGATGTTCCAGAATTACCTAGTACTTTTCTCTACTATGGCCCTGAAATCAGCCGTTGCTCTAAGCTCATTTTAGTAAAACTAATCTCTGAACCCTAGGTGAATATATTGCTAATGTGATGTCACTGATTTAGACCTTTTTGTTGTTGTTAAGTGCCATCGAGTTGGTTCCAATCCACAGGGATCCTATATAGGGTTTCTGAGGAGCGGCGGGTGAGATTGAACCACTGATCTTGTGGTTCAAATGACTTTGCAATACAGTGCATTAACCTACAGTGCCACAACAGGTAAAAATATGTAAGATATATAAAAATATTAAAATATATTGATACCTCGAATTCCAATTCAACAAGGTTTCTCCCCATCCACTCCCCTTTCCATATCCCGCCCCCCCCCCCCCCCCCCCCCCCCCCCCCCCCCCCCCCCCCCCCCCCGCCGTCTTCTACTGTTCGTATCCTAGCTCCTAACAACATTATATTTGCTCAATCCTACAATTCATACACCTACACACAAACCCACTTTAGAATCGCCTGTCTCCTTAAAGAAAATAATACACATATCCATTTAAAAAAGTGCCCGGCTCTTTTTTTTCCTGTGACGCTTTAGCCAGCGGTGACATTTTGTTGAGGAAGCGCTCAGTGGCGCATTATTCACTCAAGAGAAGACAGGAGGACAAAGCCACTGGCTCAGGATCCAGGTTCAGGGTGGAGTCCCAGGGCTCATAGGGCTGTATGTTGCAGGTGTCACTGTCGTCCTCTTCAAGGATGCTTGTCCCTCTAATGGGCAATGGGCAGATGGTCAGAGGATCCTGGTGTTTGCTGCCATCGTAGGCTCTGGGTCTAAAATACGCACAGAGAGGCCCTGAGAAGGTGTCAGTGAAGGTGAAGATGTGGGAACCATCAGACACATTGAAGAAGGACAACTTTCCGGCCTCATAGTCCAGGAAGATGCCTACCCGCCTCGGGGGCACGCGCAGGGTGAGCGCAATGCGGCGCGGGTCCAGCGCAAAGTACTCGCAGCTGTTCCACAGTCCCATCACCCAGTAGCCAGTGGCTGGGCTCAGGCGCACAGATACAGCACGTGGCACTGCAGCCAGGCAGGCGCCAAGGAACCAGCGGCTCCGGTGGCCCACATGCACCTCCCAGTAGTGGCGGCCAGCGGAGAAGCGCTGGAGGCCCAGCACACAAGTCTGCTCGGTGAACATCTGTGGGTTGCCTGCCACAGGATCCTGTGTCACCTCTCGGGAGGACACGCTCTTGCCATCTTGGGCGACCACCAGACTGGGGTGCGCTGAGGCTGGATCCAGGGTCACGTCCACTGCACAGATGCATAGGATTAGTATGACTGAAGCCTTTTGCTGTCCTGACCTGCCTCCTCCCTAAGACAGCCAAACCACTCTCAAGCCTTTCAAAGTGTTTAAGAGTGATCTTATTTCTTTCCTGAAATAGGAAGGTTTCTCAACTCCATAATGGGCGCCTTGGAGGGCAAAGATAACAAACAAGGTAGTTTGTGAGGATGGAAGCACTTGCTTCTCCTTGGAGCCAAGTTACAGCCACAAGGAAAGAGCTTGAGGGTGATTCTGTTCCCAGCTAGGTCCTGCCTGTCTGTGTGCTCTGAGATCATCAGTGGGCTCTGGGCCTCAGTTTTAGAGCAGTCTTAGATTTAAAACTGAAGGAGACCTCTGAGATGATTTAATGCTGTGCTGTACACTCCAAAGCCGTGGCTCCAGCACATCCCCATTTAATGAGTGAATATCCCTACTGTGTGATGACATCAGACAGGATGAGCTGAAAGGTTCCGTATAGACTGTATTCTGTCCTGCAAACAAGTCCAAGATGCACCCTTCCTGCCAGATAGCAACCTAGTGAAACCAAAAGGGCTAATTAAGTGCATAAGTGTAGGTGTTCATATGTATACATGTAGTTGTGTCTGTCATGTTGCATGTGCACATGTATGTGTAAGCATGTCTGTGTGTTTGTGCAGGCAGGCCTGTGTACTTGGCTCCTGCACAGACTGTTTCTAATCTTAAATCTTTCTTCTCTACTTTCCTGTAAGATCAATTCTAGTCACAAAGCACTTTGAATCAAAATTTTTCAGTTTAGTTACCTGCGTATCTTTGGGCTGCTCTCCATTCTGAAACCAAACAGAGATCTGAGTCAATAACTCTGGAACCAAAGGGAAGGAGATTCAAGATGCTTGAGGACAGCCACAAACTGAAGAACCCATTCCCACTATGACAACTGGATTGGATCCCGACTGTGCCTGATGCATCCCACCATTTTTCTAGGAATTTAGGATTGAGTAGGACAGGTAGGGAGTCCTGGTGTGCTAGACTTAAAACTTGATTTGAACCAGATGTTTGATGGTTCAAGATCACCAGCTGTTCCTTGAAAATCGGAGTCACTACGGGTCAGAACTCATATACAGGATCGCTACGGGTTAGAACCGACTTGATGGCACTTAACAACAACAAGGACAGCTGGAGGCTAGGTTATGTCAAGCCTTCATGTATGCTGAAGTTGTGCCGCGAAAAGCAAATGAAGCATATGGGCAAAGAGATGCCTTGAGATATACAAAGAGGCTCTCAATCTCTGACCAGCTTCACTCAGTCTTTAGACAGCTGAACATGTGTCCCATTCTGAAATATCCTCTAAAGACCATGTCTTTTCTCATTATGCCTCCTTTTCATGAACCATTCTGAGTAAATTTCTAGTTTATCTTGTTTTGTAGCTGGAAGTCACCACGTTTCAAAATAGCAAAAGCGATAGAAGACATTTTCAGAGCTCCATAAATTACAGCTGAATATTTTTTAACATGAGTTTTGCATTAGATTAACTTTTTTGTAAAACATATAATGTTTGAATAGAATACTCAAGTCTATAAAGATGTTGATTCTATTCAGATTTATCTATAAATTCAAAACAATCCTTTGCAAAACTCCTTTTGGGTAGTTTAAATGGAACTTCATTAATTTAACCTCCCTAAAATTTATATTTTAAAAAGATCCATTACTGTTAAAAAGGAGGAGGAAATGGGAAAAGAGAAATACTTTCAAATATTATAAAAGCCATATAGCAGCAAAACAGTAATAAGTAGGTAATAAGTTGGCCAATAGACAAGTGGTTGTTGTTGTTGTTATGTCTCTGGAGTTGGTTCCGACTCATAGTGACTCTGTACAGGGTTTCCAAGGCTGTAAATCTTTATGGGAGCAGAAAGCCTCATCTTTCTCCCATGGACCAGCTGGTAGTTTCAAACTGATGACCTTGCAGTTCGCAGCCCAATTCGTAACCACTATACTAGCAGAGCTCCTTATTGTTGTTGTTGTTAAGTGCCATTGATTCGGTTCCGACCCATAGTGACCCTGTACAGGGTTTCTGAGGGTGTAAATCTTTATGGGAGTAGAAAGCCTCATCTTTCTCCCATGGAACGGCTGGCAGTTTCAAACCGCTGGCCTTAAGGTTCGCAGCCCAATTCGTAACCACTATGCTACCACAGCTCCAGAGCTTCTTATATCAGGGGGGAAATCATGGATCGTATTGGAAACCAGCTCAAGCTGTGAAGAAAACAGCTGGAGTCCTACCTAATAATACAATAACCAGACCTCTAGATGTATTAAAGACTTCTACATAACATATCCATAAAATTAATAGGAGAGGGTGTTGTGGTATATATCTTTGTGATTAAAATGTATAGAAGATCTTCTTAAGTAAAACTTAAAAATCATATCATAAACTATAATGTAAAATTTTGATGAATTTTCACAATTTTTAAAAAGACCAGACTTATTGGTCTGATAGAGACTTGTGGAATCCTTGAGACTTTGGCCTTAAGACATCCTTCAAAACTAATGCCCTTTGGGAGTCAAGTTTCAGCCAAACAATAAACAAGCCTATCAAGTGAAAAAGGAGCTCTGATAGCATAGTGGTTATGAATTGGGCTGCTTACCTCAAGGTCAGCAGTTCAAAACAACCATTTGTTCCATGGGAGAAAGATGAGGTGTTCTGCTCTGGTAAAGATTTACAGCCTCGGAAACCCTATACAGGGTCACCATGAGTCAGAATCAACTCCATGGCACATCACCACCACCATCAAGTGAACAGTATACTCCTCAGAACAGCCAACTATACAAGACCAAAAGGGCAGTGTTTGCCCAAAAATGAAGCTCAGAAGGCAGGTAATGGCATAGGAATGGGGAGTCGAGGGAGGAAGTGGGAAGAGTGCTGTTACATTGTGGGGATTGCAACCAATGTTATGAAACAAACTGAATAAATTGTTGAAAGGAAAACTAATTTATTCTCTAAAACTTCCACCCAATCCACAATATAATTGCCAAGAGACAGATGACAAAATAGAAGGAATTTGCAATGTTTAATATCAACAAGGAATTAGTACTACAATGTTGTTGTTGTTAAGTGCCGTCGAGTCGGTTCCGACCCATAGCG